AAGCGCTTTCATAGGTCTACCTAAGGCAGCGCTTTTTTCTTGAAAAGCGCTCTCATAAGTTTTCTTTTAGCAGCGCTTTTTTCTGGAAAAGCGCTGTCTTAGGTAGGCTTTTAGCAACGCTTTTTTCTGGAAAAGCGCTTTCATAGGTGGTCTTTTAGCAGCGCTTTTGCCTAGAAAAGCGCTGTCATATGTTTACCTTAGACAGCGCTTTTTGTGAAAAAGCGCTTTCATAGGTTACCTAAGGCAGCGTTTTTCTTGAAAAAGCTTTTTCATAGGGTGTTTTTTAGAGGTATAATTTATATAATTCATATACCTGCATTGTTTGCAGCATATTATTTATATAAACCAGTTGCCATAACCTGTAATTCATAAACCGCGGTAATGCATTGTATACCATTGTAATCCAAAATATATATACACCATTTTTGTACCTCAAAATATATAAAAACCATTGTTATCAGCATTGTAACTCAAAATCAGTCTTACAAAATCAACCCTAACAACAACTAAACCAGTCTTACAAAATCAACCCTATCAAATAGCATAAATATTATAAGCAAAATAGTGGAAATTAATATACTTGCACTTTGATCCAATTAATGTTGTTTGATTTAGACCGTCGTACCCGAGCTTCTCTTTGACACCGGAATACTTGTATCGCTCTAACAAAATAAAAATATATATTCAGAACAATATCACAGAAATAATTAAATATATAAATACACACAAATATTTAGAATAATCTCACTTACGTATCAATCATTAACTTCATATCAGGATAATTTGTCCAATCACCGTCAACCGAATTCAGATAATAGACCACTTCTTTTATAGGATTGATAGCAACCAACAACCAGTGACGTCTATAAATTAAAACAACAGTCTAGAAGAAAATTTTCTACGCAAAAATTACAAATATTAAAATGAACTTAGAATAAAAATCTAACCCTGTAGGAATAGTATTATACGCCCAAAAATATAAGCTTTATGTACTTACAGTTGCCATGAATCTTTCGACTAAGTGCTCTCTTACTGAATTTGGTTCCCTACCAATTGTCGCTCCACTGACACGGGAGGAAGACACGAAATGGAATCTGTTTGACAATTGATTCCCACGCATCAATTTGTCATATAACAACCTTAAATAAAAACATAATTAATATTAGACTATACTCATTGAAATGTTTAAAAAAAATTTCAGCTAATTACATAATATAAAGATGGGGTTACCGGATGTATGCGTGCATAATACTGACGCCTAATTCTTTATGACAGAAAATCTCTTCCACGTCCTCATGTCCAATTATTTCGGTTCAAGGAAAACCAAAGATACCTTGATCCATATCCATTTGACGAATACCACCATCCATCAAATCTGTTGTTCCCACTATTGTTTCAAGACATGCCGGTATCGAGGGAAAAATCTAGTAGGAACCCTTTTCTTGGGTGGTACGCCAATGATTTTCTGGCTCACTTGTTGTAACCCTTGAAAAGGTACCTAAAAATCATATAGACTCAGTTAAATTATAAAATTATGTAGTTTTTTATTCGGATCATATAATTAACACTTCAAACGTACCTCTTTTTGTGATACATCAAAGTATATATACAATACAACAACAATAACCAAAGGATATGCAATTTAAGAATTAAAGGCCAAAGGATTTTGAATAGAAAAAATCATGAATCCTTTTTTTTAAGGGCAATAAGAATCTAATATAAAAATAAAATTCTTCATAGTAACTACTAATTGTACTTCTATGCATCAGCAAGCAAGTGTACCATCAAAAAGGCTTTGTTGGATATAGGTCCACATTCAATGTAGTTTTGATTCCGTATACAACATGGAGAATAAGATCAATTAATTTCATGGGATAAAGATAGTTTGATAATTACATCAAGGAAATTTTATTTCACAATAATCCTTGTAATCTTTTTTTTTGTAAAAATAAAACATTATGTCAGGTGCTGATCATAAAAGGAAAATTTAGAAAAATCAAGTTAAACAATACAGTACACACACAAATTTTCAATCGCGGGTTTAATGTTAACTTTAGTATGACTATCCAACAATATATTACAAACATATCCTCACCTTAATTCGATTGATGTATATTCCAAGAGGTGAATCAAAGCAATTTGGATTATAAGTATCGAGGTATCCTTTGACATGTGTATGCTGAAAAAGAAGATAAGCATTGAGGAATCATTACGTTCAAAAACTTAACAAAATCTGCCATAAAATTGGCATCAACTGATACTTTTTTAGCCTCTTTGGATGTTCCACACAATCTAAATGCCACTTTTAAAGCCAGCTCTTGAATTGAAACTCTCCTGTTTAAAACATAATATAGCAACCGATCCCCAAAAAATAACTTAGTAAAATACTTAAAAAATTAGATGAAGTAAAAAAACAAACTCTAAATATGCCTCAATACAATTTCTTTTGTTATTAAAGAATAGAGCCTTTTAGGAACTGGAAACAAAAGTGGCTACAGATCTCAACAGAAAAAGAAGACACACCCCTAAATTAAACTACCGAAATAATGTTTAAAATATCTATGAAAGTATCTAAACGTACATTAATACTATGTGCACTTTAAATATTCATACATCCTAAGTTATTCCATGGTAGATTATACCACAACATACAAACTTAACATTGCAATTCAAAACCAGTGGACCAAAAAATTCACAACTCAACGTACTAAATAGAAAAACAAGTTCAAAATCAATTGCCAAAGATATATTGAGGATTTGATCTTAGGGTTTGTTAAATAAGATTATGTTTTCCTCAAATCGCAAGACCAAATGCTCAAAAGTTAGAGGAGCGATTTCAATCAAAATAGATAAAAGCAAAACCCTAACTTTACCTCCAGAAATTTGCTCGCACGTGCACAAGACTTTTGAGTTCCTAGCTTTCTCTTCCAATCCAATCATATATAGTATGTTAAGAAGGCTCCTTTTTGTGGAGACTAAGTGATGGATCTGTAGATCGGAGAAGGAGAAGATAAGAAACAAAATGAACAAAGAAGAATATTGAGGCGAAAGAAGGGTTTTGGAGCGGAGAGAGAGATGAGGGACAAAGGATGAATGTAGGAAGGAAAAGAGTTACTGCTAATATTGTGAGTAGGAGACAAACGACAAAAATGAAACCTGATACGAATTGCAGTTGGTCGGAGAAGTGGAGCGTCGTTGACCGCCGTAGAAGCTCTGGTTTAGAGTTTTTTCGTGAAGAAAATCTGACTGAGAATAGAAAAGTGATACGAATTGTGTTTTGATATTTATTATAAAACTACCTACGAAAGCGATTTTAAAAGCGCTTTCTAAAGGTCATCTATAACAGCGCTTTTACATCAAAAAGCGCTTTCGTAGCATATCCTATAGCAGCGCTTTTAAAAGCGCTTTCTAAAGGCCAGCTTTAGCAGCGCTTTGGAAAAGCGATTTCTAAGGCTGACCTTTAGCAGCGCTTTTGAAAAGCGCTTTCTTAAGGTACCCTCTGAAAGGCCAGCTTTAGCAGCGCTTCCCAAAAAGCGCTTTCTAAGGGTGACCTTTAGAAGCGCTTTTGAAAAGCGCTTTCTTAAGGCACCCTTTGAAAGCGCTTTTTTAAGCGAATTTTTTTTAAAACCTATAGCAGCGCTTTTTTCCAAAATCGCTTTCTTTTATGTGCTGTTAAAACTTATTTTTGGCGTAGTGTTTATTGTTGAAGCTTGTAGATCTTGTTATAGAGGAAGATCTTCACCAACAGGAGAAAGAGCTAGTGCAACATTGTCATGAATGATCTGAACTGATGATCTAAGATGTTTGTTGGAGATGTTTTGACCATGAGTAGATCTTGAACCATCCATAAGAAATACACCTTGAAGCAATTACGATTGTGAGGTTGAAGAGATTTTATAGAATTAGAGAGAATTGATTCTCATATACAGCTCTATTGTCTTGAAATGAAGCAGAGGATGACTGGTCTGACGATGAAGGTTGTTATGGAAAGCTTCTCGCACGATGGAGACAATTCTCTAGTGACTCGATAGGGTGCATGCAAAAAATATTAGCACTCTATCACTCAAGTTAATAAGATATTAATGTAGAATTATGTAGTTGTGTAATGAATCGTACATGAGCGTGACTTAAGATCACACTTATTATAAAAGACACATGTATAATGTGAAGCAAGAATAACCGTTGGGCGATGACGTGGCTCAAAGTGAAGGGGAGTTGAGCTTATATGCTATGAAAGGTGAGAGAGATCCACTAGTACATCAGTGTGTTAGACATCTCTAAAAATTAGACCAATCTTACATACCGTTGACCAGCTCAAAATAAAAATAATAAATTATAATTCGATATAATTTTTCCTTCTAAAATAACATAATTAAAATAAAAAAAGAAGTATATTTTTGTCTAAAAAAGTGAATCTCATGTATTAAAATAAAAAAGAGAAGTATTCTTAATCTCATGACTAAACTAATTTTCTGTAACAAAAAAAAAATCTTTGAATTTACCAAGACATGAACTCTATAGCTTTCATCAAATATTTAAGAAATAAAAGATAACTTAACTAAAGAAAAATACTTTTCTTTGAATGAAAGAAGAAAAAGTTTTTTTAAAATAAAGAAATCAATGAAAGGTATTTGGATTTAGCAACTAACTAAACAAAGAAGCAACTAATCGGGTCAGTTTGTTGAACCAAGTTCATGGAAACTAAAGTCCAACAAAAAATCAACAAATGACATAGGAAAATATATAAAAAAATACCAAAGAAGTTTGAAAATATGAAACCTCCTTAGTACGTGGAACCAGCTGTTGAAACAAACTTAGAAAAATCAAAAATTAATTTATAAAATAATAAACTATACAAAAATAGTATATATATTAATTGTTGAATAATTTCAAAGATGGCAATATAAATAAAATGAAAGTTGTGAATAAAAGTGAACAAAGAAAGTAAATAGAATTTCTATAATCACAATTAGTTATTTTCATTAAACAGAGAGAAAGAAATGGTTCCATGGAATTCATTTCCATTAGAAATAATCTATCAAGTATTTGGTTGGTTAGCTTTTCTTTCATGGTCTCTTGCTGGCTACCCTCAACTCATCTCCAATTTTCGTAGAAAAAGGTAACAATTTATTTTTCATGTTTTTATTTTAATTTCATTCTCTGTTTTCTTGTTTCTTATAAGTGATTTTGGAAACAGTGTGGTTGGTTTAAGCTTAGATTTTACAGTCTTGAACTTCACAAAGTTCTGGTCATATCTCATTTACAACGCTTCCCTCTTCTTTAGCCCTGTTGTTCAGAAACAATATTTTGATAAATATGGTTATGGGCAGGTAAATATATTCCTTCTTTTTTACTATATGGTTTTTAATTTAATTCAATAATGAAATAAATATGATTATATCAAAATCTTTGATAGCGGCTGTCAAACCTGCGCTGTTCCAATAAATATTTTATAATTGGATCAATATAGAGCAATTCAACTCCCGGAGGTTGGCCTAGTGATTAAGATCTCTGAGAGTTTAATTGTTCTATATTGATACAATTATAAGATATTTATTACAATAAATATATGATACATTTTATAAAATGATCATCACCGATCGATTAATAAATCTTAACTAACTTGTGATAAAATTAATTAACTAATAATTAACTATAACAACTCATACAACTAACTCTAACAAATCTAGTTTAATTAACGGATACTAATAATGTTAGGCTGAATATTTTGATTTGTTAATTGCAGATGATTCCTGTAGCTGCTAATGATGTTGCTTTCTCTACTCATGCTGTTATAATCAATTTGATTGTATTGTTTCAATTTGCAATCTATGGAGTAAGTTTAATCAAGTTATTATTAAATTCTTGAACCAAACAAATCTTAATTGAAAATAAGTTGCTTATTTTTGTGAGTGACTTGTGCAGAATGGAAGCCAGAAGCTATCCAAGTATACAATTGCAATATTTGCTGGTGTGTGGTTCATTGCTGCTGTTTGTTTTTTCATAGCATTGCATAGCCAATCTTGGCTTTGGCTTATCTCCATTTTCAAGCAAGTTTCTTTCTTATCACTTGTTGTTTTAACCTTACCTCTGTTAGCATTTTAGATTGATGAAATTAAACTTTGTTCCCCTAAACCTCAAGTCCGCTACTGTGATTACGGGGTATTGTCTGTTTCGTATGTAAGAAGTCTCACGGTTTTGTCTTTGAGAAAAGACATCTTGTTGGATTCACATGTATGAGTGTATTTTTAAGCAATGCGAGACTATTCTGTCCAGCTCAAACAGTTGCCTTCAGTCGAGGCTAAGAGGCATAGTGCGAGTATGTAGATCCAACCCCTCCTTTTAGCACCAATGTTATGGTTGATCTCAAATCCATGTCATTGTGGCTTCGAGGTATTTTTCGTTTTTGGTGGAAGAACCTTCACTGTTTTATCCTATAGAAAAAGCGCTTCGTTGAGTTGAGGTGTATGGATGTTGTATATAAATTATCCTTAACCGCGATTCTTAAGATAAATTTCATGACTTTGTAGCAGCACTTTAATTTTTTATTTAATTGTTAATATTATTGTAGCTCTCGTTTGTATTGTGCTATGATTACTTCTAATAACTTGTGGAAATCATTATATTGCAGTTTAATTCAAGTGTGTATGACCCTCATCAAATATTTTCCCCAGGTTTTAAGCCTTATCCTATATATTTTATATCATCATCTTTAATTTTTACTATACATATCTCCTTCCCAATTTCATACTTGTTTAGTTGATAATAAACTTGTGTTTTTATTGCGTTTTCATTATAAAAAAAATCGACATAAACACAGACACAACACTTACAATAGACTAGATGCATATAGTAGTAATTATGTGCTATGATTAATTAGATTGAATGACACGACACGTTTTTATGTCGTATCATGTGTGAATACTGACACATATCGGAGATGAATTGCTGGTATATATCGCTTCTACTTAATTGTCTTTATGAACAATTTGTTGCTTAATTCTGGAAATTTTTGTTATGAATTGTAGGCACTCATGAACTTCGTGAGGAAAAGCACAGATGGATTTAGCATTGGCAGTATTCTCCTTGATTTTTCAGGAGGTGTCTTAAATTATTCACAAATGGTTGTGCAATCTATAGATCAAGGTTTGTGATTTTAATTACTAGTAAAATTAATCAAATTATTATTTGACCATTAATATTAGTACTAATTATGACTTAGGAGTTTTAACTTTTCTATATATATATATTTAGATTCATGGGTGAATTTCTATGGAAACATTGGTAAAGTAATGATATCCTTGGTATGTAATCTTCTTTACCAAGGCATTTTAAATTTATTTTATTATTATTATTATTATTATTGGATTCAGAAAATAATAATTATGTTTATGAATCACTATTGCAGGTAAGTATATTCTATGATTCAATTTTAATGTGTCAACATTATGTACTATATCGTCACAAGAAAGTGCTTATTACTCCTGAAAATTCTAAAGAAATCAAGAAACCATTGATTAGTTCAAGTCCATTAGATGAACAAATTCATGATTCAGTTTGAGGTTCTTTGAGAATGTATTGTATACAACCAAAATCAATCAATTTATGTAAATCATATAAAATATTAATATTTTATATGATAAACAATCTCCTTTTTTTTTTTTAATTAGAGACAAAATATATTTTAGGTCTTGTAAAAGATAATAAGATATAATTGTAATATCTTAAATTTGTCCTACTCCTTGTTCTTTTATCTAGCTTACGCGTCTCGCATTTTTATCATATACATAACTCTCATTAGGTCATTTGACAACACCATTCATTCATTAATCAATAAAATGTGGCATGTGATCAAAGATTCTGAAGAATTAGGGTTTCGCTCAGGCATCAGTGTTTCATCTCTTTGCAACCTTATCTTAACTAAAGACTCAAGGGCTACAAACAAGAGCGTCGAAGGTCATCTTCATGTGCTCATCATCTCCATAGGGATTAGAGTTATTTTTCTAATCACGTGGAATCCAGGAGGGATCCATGAAGTTTGTTCATCAGTTCATCTCATTATTAAAGAGTTTCCATTAGTGCTTAAGGTACGAGATTACGGAAGAGATCTTGGTGTATTCATGGCATCTTAAAGTTTTTCTTCAGTATGCAACACGAGGAAGCTATCATTGAAGAATTCTTATCCATTGTAATCTAAGTCTTCTATTGGTTTTTATTAAGGGAAGTTTGCTTATTGGTATTGAATCATAGAGCGTATGGCTAGGGTGTTCATACAAGAAGATGGAAAGATAGTTTCACTTGGGTTTTATTCATAATTCAGGGTTTGTGGACATCAATGTGAGATATGATCTCATCGGAACACTTGAGTTTATTTATGGCCTAAACTTTCCTTGAGGCTCCATTTCGAGTGCTTTGAGATTAAAACCTAGTGTTGTCTTGTGAAACATCAGAGTTTTAGATTAAAAGTCCTAGAAATTGTCAAGCCCATTCAATTACCTAAGGATACTTAAAGGCGGTGATTCACTCCATTGTTGAAAAGTCAAGGCGTGGAAATACGTAATTGTCTATTCAAGTGCAATTATAAGAGAAGACATTAGGAATTCACGATAAATCTGAAAGGAATATCACTTTTAATATTTTGAAGAATGTATCATTTGGATTCAAGGGTTTGTAAAGTATGCTTCTTTTACAAAATCCAGCACCTTGTTCATTATGACTTCAAGTTCTTTTCACTACGGGAAATTTAGTCTTATCAACATTCCGATTACATCTCATACATCAATATTTCAAAAGAATGTAATCATATTCCAAATCCCTTAAACCAGTACAAGATCAATATCATTACATATTTTCATCTCCTTTACATAAGCTACATAGAAACTACTAAGAGTTACAAATTATACCCTATGCTAAAGCTATCCTAAATCTTCAAGCCTCGCTTCATCTCACAAGCTTATGTGGCTCCATTTTTGGGTCATTCTTCAAATTCCAGTTATGCCTCATGTGTTCAAGCTGCTATGATATAAACGAAACCTGCAAAAATATTGAATAAACTGCCATAACCACTCCATAACCTGTAACATAAAATAAATAAAAAAACCAATTCCAACAAATTGTCCAAACAGAATTACACTTCCCTAACTGCTAACCAAAAAAAAAAAGAATCTCAGCCTTCCAAAGTAACCTGTAAACTGTCGTAACAAGAAAACCAAAACAGAATTATCTAACGGTCTTTTTCAAAACAGAAACAGATCCGAACTAGCAGCAAGCACCAAACAGACTTTCCTAACTTCTAACCAACTTACAGCAACTAACCTGCAAACTAAATTGTAATAGAAAAACAACCAATAATAGAACATAACAGAACTTCTCACAAACCTCTCCATAACCAACTGTAATTGTATCCTAACCACCTAACCAATTTCATAACAAACTTCTAACGAAATCACCAAACGGAAATTAACCAACTGACAAAAGATATAACTAAACTTCCTAACAGCACTGCATAACTTCTAACCTTTAACTAAATTTCAACTTCCAAGAACCAGAAGAGAACCAGATCATAACAGAAAAACTAACTCTAATCCTCACCTTCTATATTCTCTAACCAATTTTTAATCAAAGGCGGAGATCCATTTTAATCAGTAACTAACTTTCACAGTCCTAACCAACTATATAATATAAACTCACCAGATTCTTCTTCGTTGGGGGCACTCTCTGAGAAATCATCAGAAAACTTCACTCTTCTCTCTCTCTGAAATCTCTGAAAATTTGTCTGTAACCTCTAACAAACTCTCATAAAAATCTTCATCTTCCACCTTCACGCTTCAGCCTTTATCAACCTCTAACATCTTCAATCTCTTTTCTGAAAAATCTCCATCACCTTCCTCACCATGCATACACCTTCTCTACTTCTCAGAATAACAAAATCACAACTACAAAAAATCTAGGAAAATCAGAGATTCATAGAAGAAAACAAATAGAACGAAGAAGAAGGCCATGAAGAGGAAGTGTACCTGGACGATACCTCGAAGAAAATCTAGATTTATCTCTGGACTTCTATCTTCGTCGATGTCAATCACCATCGGTAAATCTCGACTCCTCTAAATCTTGCGTCTTTTTATTTCTCCTAGCTTGGCGACGGTTTAAATCTGCAGAAGTTTAACGGAGCCGACAAATAATTTGCGGATTAAAACTCGAATTGAAGTGTTAGAATGTTGATTCTCGAAAGAAGAAGAGATTGAGCGCAGTGGGTGTGATACGGTGGGAGAACTGACTTGGGATTTGCGTTTGTTTTCGCACTTGTTCGGTTTAGCAAGAGTCACCATCGAGTTTTTATTTTATCCTAAGGAAAGATCAAAAAGCACAGGAAAGACCTTTGAGATGTTTTCGTGGGTTCGGGGGGTAGATTATGAAAAGGGAAGGTGCTAGCACCCTTTTCATCCATGGTTATCCATGGGCTCTTAGTTACTTGTTTTAGATCACTTGCCTTTGCTTTTCAATTGTTTGAAATGGTACTTTGTGTGTGTGGTTTTGAAAATGCTTTGAAAAAGATGCCTTGTCTAGGCAACCTTTGTAATGATTCTTGTTTGAATATATACAAAGGTGTGTGTCTTTTTGAAAAGATAATTCAATGTTTTGAAAGTTGTTTTGAAATTGTTTATGAAGTTGTGTTGGGGAGTGTGTTTTGAAAAATGGCAAGGATGTTTTGCAAGATTTTCGATCAAGTAACTAAGAGTTGTCTACCCTATTTTACTCAAAGATCTTTCTCATGTTTTAACCCTTTTAACAGTGTTGTTTCACCATTGTATTTAGTGAACAACCTTGTGTTAGGATGTTAAACGAGACAGGTGCGGGTCATCGTATACAATCATTGAAGGCAACTTGTGAGACGCTCTAGCAATTTTTGTAAGGGAAGAGATCGTTTTATCGAAGGCAACATCGAGGGTCATCGAAGGACTATGATCTTTGTTTATCGAAGGGACATTTGCTAGAGTGTCTCATACTCGAGGGACATGATCGCATTTTCCGAGGCAACAAGTGAGGCTATCCTAGAGGTGCAAGTGTGAATTGTGTATTGATGTTCATGCATTTATCTTGTATTAGGTTATCTAGCGGTTGATTTTGAATCTTCGCGTACAAACCCTAATTACTATACAGTATATGGAAAGCAATAAATTGCGGGAATTTAAAGTCTAAGTTATTACAAATAAGTATCCGGGGATGGGGGTACAAATGTTTACAAATGGGGATGAGTCTTGTTAGAATAGTAATGTCCAAATATTATGTTACAACCAAATCGAAACGTCGCATTCTCAATGTAAAAGTATAACAAGGTATAAGAATCAAAGAGAATCAAAAGTATTGTGAAATGAATGTGGTTATTTACAAATGATTAAATAAAATATTAACCTAATGAAAATTAAGTATAATTATTATTTTTGTGCTTTTTTTGTTAGTTTTATAAACAATAAGCTTTACAGAAAAAGAAAGAATTGTTTAAATAAAAAAACTATTATTTATGTATTTTAGTTAATGTTTTTTAGAAACTTGTATAAAAGATTAATTAAACAAAAGTTTTAAAGAAAGAAAATTATTTAACTCAATAAATTCTATTATTTATGTATTTTGGGTTTTAGAGGTAATGAAAATTATTAATAAAATTTTATACAAAAAGGTAATATATTATTTAATAAAAAGAATTAGGTTATGAAAATGTAGTGATAAAATAAAAGAGTATTGGTTTTCAAAAGAAAAATATAAGAAAAGAAGTTAGATGGGCTTGGAGAATGTATTTGGCCCAAAGAATGAAGATAAGATAAGACAAAAAGGAGGGTGTGGCGCTGAGAGTATTGGGCTTTAGGGTTTATGGGGAAAAAGCCCAAACGCATTGTACAACTTTTAGGGTTTGAACAAATTGTTTTCAGAATTAGGTTTGCAGTTTTGTGAACGGCGCCGCTCCTCTCCTCTCTTCGTCCTCTTCATCATTCTCAAACAGAGCCACTGATGCCCTCTATGCCCGACTACTGGAGCGCCGCCCCCTTTCACTCCTTCACTTTCTCCCAGTGATCCAAGTTTGGTGTTTCGAAAGGTGCGAATTGTTCATTCATATTTTTTAGGTTTTTCAGAGTTACATTAGTGTGATTCTTGTACGTTATCACTTGCATGTTTCGATCCTTATGCTTTTTTGTTGATGTTTATATGTAGTACAAACTTGAGGGTTTGAGATACGTACCTTGAATGTCTTGCTTCTGAGAACGATGGAGGGAGGAAAGGGCTTGGTGGCGCCTCCTTGGTGGCCGGAGTAGTAGATGAAAATGATAGTTGCTAGCTTGTCTTCTGGTACTTTGTATCTTTCTCTTCGTTTTGTGATGAAAACTAATTCTGAAAACGCTTTTTCATTAGCTTCTAACTTTCTTCCTCTCTTGGGCTTTGTTGGCTTTTGATGTTTATGATTTAAGCTGATGTTTTTTCCAATGATGAACCCTGTTCTAAGGTGCTTGTTCTTGTCACTTCTAACTTCTTCCTCTTTGTGGATTTTGTTGATTTTCAATGATGTGC